TGGTAAGATATGACAAGCAGTGATGAGCACTGGTGTCAAGACGACTGAAATCAGGGAAACAAAGAGAAGGCTCAAGACTGCTTGATGAAGTTTATATTGTATTGCAGGCTCTGGGATGAATTCGAAGAGCAGCCAAATGATTCAGAGTTTTATTCAGTTCAACACTAAAATGTCCAATTTATACTTTTTAATGGCAATCAGAAGAAAGAAAATTACTAGGCATATCCCAAGCATTTCTAAGTCCTAGATAGCTTCATTTATTGTCTGTTTAATAATTAGTCTTCTCAATCTGCCAGGGTTGTAAAGCTAGGTCTCAGACCCAGGCAAAGGCTTGAAGTTATCACTAGCAGGTAACTACATATAAAAAGAGAACAGCACTTCTTTTCCACAGAAAGAGTTGTTATTTACATAGTGCCCAGTGCATGTTACAGGCTCTGAAGGAAAAGTTAAATAGCGAGTATATGATGTAAAGCAATAATCTTGCTTTTACTGTAATAAAAATGAATGTGTTTGCTTCCCTAAGTACAGGGCTCATCTCCACCATTTCTTTTGATACTGAACTACGTGTTTTTAAATTGCTATGCTGCAGAGATTTGTTTCGTTTTGTTTTCTTTCAGTATTAAACCTCTCAATTCCTCAGCCATAGAACAGGAAGAGATTATTGAGTTCAACACAGTTTTTGAAGTCAAAGGGAGTTACTTCTCCAATAGGAGGGCTTTTGTTCAAAGCACAAGGCTGTTTAGACAGCGTAGATCTGTAAGCTCTAAGGAACAGTTCGTGCCAGAGAATTTAGCTTGTTCATTGTGCTCATCAGTGTTTGTTACCATTTTGGCATGAAAAAAGAAAAGCTGCACAGTATTAATAGAATAATTATTTAAAAGGTACAACACTTTCATACCCAAGCTTCCGCGGTTCACTGTTATTTCAGACCTGTGCAGCTGACAAACCTCGAACAGTAGCTGGGCATGACTAAAAGACATTGTTTGAAAGCTCTGCTCTTTCAATCAAATGCCAATGCATGTATGTTTGCAGGCTCTCAGTCTGCAGCATCTGGGTGTACACTGTGAGACACAGTGAGCATTTAAACAAAATTTAAAGGGAGCTCAGCTGACGAAAAATATTCAGATTTCTTGCACATATAGAGAAATGTTCACCACTTAGTTTAATCATATGTTGGACGCCCATTTGAAAACAAAGAAACAGAGAACTCCATTTTTCTGAGGAGAGCTTATGTTACAACATAATTAACTACCACTTATGCTCTTTTTGATTTTTCATTATATTTTGCTTTATCATTTTACCTCCAGCCTGATGCAAAGGCATTTATCATTTCATTTATCACACATGATAATTCTCACAACACGTTTTATTGTTTGTACTCTCGTAATGGATAAGACTTCCATCTAGCACTGTATGAACACCAAATATGAAGACAGTTATTGCAGCATATTAGCATTTTTCACATACCTGAAGCACTGCATTTGCAATCTGTGAACCCCTCATAAAAAATTGTCTCTTTATTTCCATACCCAGCCTCATATATTTCATTAAATAATTTCAGAAATTTATGAATTTATTTATGAAATCACAATTACATGGCTGAAGTCTTAACCTAGGCCTAAAGAGGCTAATCAGGGTATTCCTGCTAATGGGGAAAAAACTCTGACCAAACAATTCCCACATTTAAGATAGAAGTGTGTCATCCTAGTTCCTAATGCTAAATTCCTAATTCCAAGAGGGAAGGTGAAAATGAACACTTAAGGATCCTCACTGCTGTGATTACTGTGCAGGACTTCAACATGAGATATAATTGGAGTTCTTGCCTTTGTAGGCCAGATAATGAATATTCCATTAAAAAGGGTTCCAATTACACTTGCAAGGAAACTGAATTGGAAGTCTGTGCTATTTTTAAAGACAATACAGTTTACAATAGAATTCCAGCTCAACTGGCTGAGTTTCCAAGCTGAGGAGACACGTCCAGTCTTGTCAGAAATATCGTAGGTGCATGAGCTTTCTACCCTGGGGTAGAAAGTATCCTTTCCAAGAACAGCTCTCTTACAGTTTAAGCTGTCCAAATTAGAAATGTAAAACCATCATAAAATACAGTAGGACAGGAATGCTGTTTGAAAATGCTGTGTGTCTATCTGCTTCTTAAAAATGATCACTGTGAGACAGATTAGGAGTTGCCCTTGCCTGAAGCACAACATTTTCCACTGCTGAGATTTCTGGCTGCAACTCTGAGTCACTGTTGAAATGACACAAGGAGGGACAAAGGTTTCTACAGTGAGGACAGATGACAAGGAAGAATGGAAAAGAAGCACAAAAAATGTAAGCACTCACAAGAACAGATCCAGAAGACAGTCCATGGAAAAGGCAGGATCTTTTGGAAGGGACTGCAATACCAGCTCTGCTATGCTACTCTTCAAAAGATTGTTTTATCTACACCAATTTAAGCTCATAATTCTGTCCTGCCAAGTATGCTAACACTTCTTTTAAAGTATAAAAACTGTTTGTTCACTGGTGTGCAGGGAAGTCCACAGCTAATACAAAATTCATGAGACAATAAAATCGTGTGAATAATTGTAAATAAGATACACTCATCATCCCACTAGGGAATGTTAAATGAAAAAAAGTTACTTTGGTAAACTTTGTATTCATGAGGAAGTCTGAAGATTCACTTTTATGCTGAATGGGCCCCCAGACGGTTCAGCAGTTAGTAAACAGCAATTGTGCAGTTTCTCTTAAATATCCCTGAAGAGAAGGAAAACAAATGCAGGTGGAAAATCTACATCAACAGCTGTGGGCAATGCAATGGGAGGGGGAAGGGAAAATAACTTCAAAGGCTGTAAAAGTGATAATATGGTTAGTTTCCTACCACCTCCCTCCATTTCCTACAGCAAATCTAAATATTTCCCCCTCAAATTATTTGTGCCTTTTTGCAGCATTGGGATGACCAGTAAACAACTTTATTTAGCAGCCTGGTATCAACAGAGTACTAGGAGGGAGAGACAGAGAGAGAAGCCTATCAATGCTTTAGAAGTGGAGAGAAGAAAACCTGTAAGGGGACAATGGGTGGGATTCCAGTGAAAAACATTAAAAAAAAAAACCAAAAACACAAGGGGGAGGGAAAACAATGGAAGCATTTAATTCCATAACAAATCACAAAGCTGCTTCTAAAAGTAAGGAGACATTCTTCCTAAATTTTTTATTGCCTAGTTTTACATTGCTGTCGTGGTTTGTTGTGAGTGTATGCCACAGCTTAAGTATCTAAATAGGAGCAATCTGTGCTCATGAAAGAATAAAAACATTTGTTCATCTCTTTTGCATCTGTTTAATGAGTGTTCAACTGTACTTACATTCCTCTCATGGAGCCATATACAAAAACTGTGGACATGTATCATATTACAAATTTTTAGTGTGTTAAATTTCTTTCAGTTTTGGCCTCTTCTAAACCAAAGGAGGACTTTTGTGTAGTGCTTTGAGAGCTTACCCTTTTGTTAAGACAGCTAAAAAGAAAAAAGTGATTACAGTGTCAGAAATATCTACGCTCATTCCTGAAACTGAGCTAGAAGTCCCCAGGGATAATCCAAGTCTTCAGTTCAGAGGCCACTTAGGGTCATCTTTACTACTCTTTACAGCACTGTCCTTGAAATGTAGGAACAGTGGCATTGTAACTACACACAACACTGAGGAACAAACTCCTCACCTGATTTTCCTGATGACCACAGAGTAAATTTATGGAATTAATACAAGAGACCAAATTGAGACTGGGTAAATTTTACATAGAGGGAGTATGTATTTAAGCCTCTCCAAGCACAGAATTCAACCCAGCTGCAGGATTCACATGTCACATCTACAACATACTTATTTTAGCTCTTTTAAAAATTGCTGTGCATGCCTGACCACTGTGGTTTTAACACTGTAGAGATACCCAGCTCTTACAGAGCGAGCAAAGATTTCAGTTTGCTGCTAGAAAAGACCTCAGAATTTTTTTTTTCCCCCACTGTTTTCTCCATTTAAGACTTCCAGCTCAGAAAGAATGGTTTCGTGTTGGCCTGGGCTTTTTGTAAGTCTCTTTTGAGCACTTACGGTTGATCCAAGATCAAAATTCTCAGCAGAAGTAAGCCTTTCATGCTAAAATCCATACAGTACTGGTCTAATCTTTGTGCCCAACAGAAGACTCATTCAGAGGCAGCGTCACCGCTGGGACCACTGAAAATTACCTCGCGCGGTAATTGTGGCGCAGGACCGGCTCGCGTTACAATTTTGCCAGCGGCGTTTAAAGGCAAGGCAGAAGTACGGTTTACACGTTCGGAGGCACAACACAAACACACCCACTTCCCTCCCCCCTTCCCCCGTTCCCCGCGGAGGGCTGTGACCGGCAGTAACCCCGCGCTCCGCCACCCTGGGCGAGCGCCGAAAACACGCGCGGCCCTCGCCAGCGCTCGGGATGAGCAAGCTCTGGAGCATCCACAGTGCGAGAGCCCTGCAAAGCACACATAACCCTTCGGCTGCGAAACAGGAGGGGGCGGCGGCGGCGGTGGTGGGAGGAGGGGAGGGGGAGCTGACAAACACAGCACGCAGCGGCTCCCGCTGCCCTCCCGGCACTGACACTTCCCGGAGGGGGGAAAAAGGCCGAGGTCCCGGGAGCGCTGTGCCTGAGGGAGCGGGCAGCGGGAGCGGGGCGGGATGACCGGCAGTAACCCCGCCGGCAGCGCCGCCGCCAAGTAGGTGAGGAGTAACTGGGAGTCATCGCCCTCGGGAAGGGCCGCGCGCAGCCGCGGGAAGCGCTTCCCCCGCCCCGCCCGGGCCGCGGGCACGGGGGGGCTGCCCGGGATGGGGGCAGGAAACGCGGGGAGGGGGGGAGAGTATAGACAGAACCGGGGGAGAGTATAGGCAGACAAGGGCGTGGGGGTGCCGGTAACGTGGCAGAAAGGAGCGAGTGCCCCCTGCATCTGTCCGTTTTTGCTCAGTCCGTATTGCTCAGAATGACATCCTGATGGTATCATTTAGCTCATCATGACATTCCATCAATCAAAATCCAGTTTTAATTACACACCATTCTGCTTTTTTTCTCTCAGAGCAAACGCAGAGGACATGCAACGACCTATTTAAATTAAAATGCATACTTTATAGAATTAAAAATAGGTTGGAAATCACTTTTAAATCAGCTTCGTCCACCGGGAAAAAAAGTTGGTACGTGCGTGTGCTGGCGAGAAGGAAGGGGGGGCCGCCCCCCTCTCCCCCGTTCCCTTTCCTGCCCCCAGCCACCCCCGAGCTCCTGGCGGGGGGGGTGCGGGGGGGTGAGGGGTACAGAGGGAAGCGCTGCTCTGCTTCCACCCACTGCCTACCAACGCCCCGCTCCCCGGGAGAGCCGCTCTCTGGTCCGGGCTGCACGATTGTTGGGTGCTGCCACGTCCCACACAGACACAAGTCGAGCTTTGGTCGCATGTGCTGCTGCCGTTCAAAACAAACCCAAACCCAGCCCCAGCCCCAGCCCCCGGGCTGCCGCGCACCGCACCGAGCCTGGCACCAGCTGCCGCCGCCTTACTTGCCAACAGCAAGGCTGTGTTCAGTAGCTTTAACAAATTATCGGTGTGGTAACAGATTTTCGTCTCGAAGGTGACGAAGACAAGAACAGAAATGGCTTCACTTTAGACTTACTTTTTAGGTGTTTATGATCTCCTTTAAGGAGGTTTGGGTAATTCACGCTGCTGCTGAGCCAGACAGGCTCTGACCGCAGTGTTAGTTTCCAGCGTGTGAAGAGTCATCAACCCTCATATACATGCATAGTGTGTCTACATATGATTATGTAGACAGCATAGATCAGCAGCATCTACAGGTGCTAGACTTTATGGTCCTAAGCAGCTTCCGGGTGGACTGTGGTTAAGGACCGAAAACCATCCTGGGCCGAGGGTTGCCCCGGGCCAGCTGCTGTGCCGCCGCAGGGCCAGCCAGCAGAGGTGTGACCGGTGCGACGCTCCATCTGCCCGCGGCAGGACCGGCGCGCTCCAGCTGGGAAGCTGCCTGTTTTATAAACAGCCGCACGAGGAACCTGGAGTCCCACGGGGAAGCCAATAAATCCCCAGCTTTCTTGCTTTCTTCTTTCGCGCAGCGCTGTAGGGGGGAATTTGTTCTGGAAAACGTTAGAAGGAGGGTGTTTAATGTCAAGAATGGCACGGCACAGATGCTGTAATAGAGAGGCTTGCAGCACTGCACAGTCTGTGTCACAGTCTGTGTTCATCTCCTCTGCCTCCTCTGGAATTTAATTCCTACAAACTGTGAATAACGTGCTGCAGCTATTGCAAGCTTCAAATTGTACTACAGTTTACAGAGCACAAAGAGCACTGCTGTTTAGTATTTCTCGAGGTTGAGTATATTGAGAGATAGGCGATGGTGATTATTACAACCAAAAAACCCTGCCAGAAAGTCTGCAGGTGCTTTACAGCTGTACATAAAGCTATATGAGTGAAAACCTTGGTGGGTTCTTCCTAGATCACCTCTTCCGCCTTTTGTAAACATAATGTAGAAGAGCTCCTATGGCAGATTTCACCTCAAAATGTGCATTTCTCTGAAAGTGAGACTATTGCCTGATTTAACTGTCTTAAACTGAGTAGGTGTGGTGACCGTAGGAAACATCATACCATTGCTCAATACAATGGGTTGCTAAACCTGTGTTTCAGTTACATCGATGCGAATTTCTTCTGTTTTCTCTTTTAAGTGTAGAGAGATTGTCTACATTTTTTTCCAAGACTGAAATGGCCATGTTTCTTCTAAAATGAAAGCTCCCTGTACACTTGGCTTTACTCTTTCCTAGGTCTACTGGTATTCTCCACAAATGCTTCACAAACAATTGTTCCAGATACTGCGTGGCCCAGTCCTAAGGAACATAAATAATATTAAAATAGTATTAAAAGTATTTAACCTCAGAGAACAAACTGCTCTCCCACGACCTGAACATGCTGAAACAAAACACAACTGCCCCAGAGAACAGCACAGAGAGGCCGCAAGTATATTTCAATAGAGAAGGAAAGATAAAGTTGGTATGAACCTTCAAAGTGTGCAGAGAAGAATGTATTATTTCAAAACCCCTCATGTTTGTCCAGGCAGTCGGACAATGGCATTCCTAAAACCTTACCATTTCTGTTTTACAGCACCTTCAGAAATACTAGATTTCTCACAGTACAATTTGAAAATAATTTCTGGCTTCAAGTGTTTACAATGCATTTTCCTAACACTGGAACAGGCCATGTTAAATTCAGTCCGAAGTGGTAAATGGCAGACATTTTAGCATTTCATTTCAGGATGCTGATTCAGTGTTGGTTTTACAAAAAAAGTTGGGCAGCCACTTCTCCAAGTGTCCACCTTGCTTTGCTTCCTAAATGCATGGTTAAATGTTTACTGAGGCCAGTGAGAGACAAGTTGATCTGGCCCAAGTTGCTGTTGAAAATCTCAGTTATTAGGAATTGAACTTCACCAGCTGGATATCAATAAAGTTGCTGCCTGACTTTACTGTTAGGATCTGTTATCCCTGACACACACAGAAAGCCTGGCCTGATCTCTCCCATTAAAATCAGACCCTCCATTAAGTACGTTTAGTTAAAGCAGAGCTTTGTTTTCAGGACCTTGAGATGGATCACACCTCACTGCAGCTGCTTAAGTGTTGTGCTGCTGATTTTGCCTTCTGTCAAACTTACCTCTTCCTGCTATGACTCCTCTCGCTCTTTTGGCTCTTAAAAGGCCCCTTGACTGTAAGGGTGATCTACACTCACATGCCTGTCCTCTGTGTTGACAACCGAGCCAGGAAGCCACAGAAGAATATTTGAAAAAGCACGAGAAAGGAAGGTAAGTGTGCAAGAGACTCACAAAATGGAAATGAAATTCAGGCTTCAGTTCACATCTGACAGCTTAAAAGTGCTAGATTTTAGGCCTAGATCCTCATCCCCTGTTGAACTCTGCTCACTGCATCATGGGAAGCGAGGGTACAGCTTTTCCACATCCCTCCAACTGTGCAGCTGTCTGTTGCTCAGTGGGGATTGAACTGCAATGGGAAATCTGTCAATTTCATTTCTCTGGAGCTTCTTAGTGCTGAGCTGTTAAACAAATCTGCCCTACATAATGTAAATGTATTCTGCAACACAGCACATTATTATTGATGAAGTCATATTGATGCTAGGCTGAAAATTTGCCTCTAATTTGCTCTGTGCATACAGGCTGCTTTCAAACATAAGGTGAATGACTTACTGTAACCCCAGATTGGTTTCAACAGCAAGTGATTAAGCCGTGACATCGAGACAAAGTAAATGAAGGAAGTGGTTTCACAGAACAGGCTGACACATGACAGGCACAGAACTAATTCTGTAGCAAAAGAGGGGTGAGTCATGGGTCTGCTACATGTGCTTTGGTTAAGTTCTCGCGGATCAGTATCTCTTGTACATATAAAAACATGAGAGAAGGAGCTAAGTTCTCACACTTTGTATGTAACAATACTACTATAGCAGCATCCACCTTCAAACATTTCTCCTCATTAAACTACCAGATGAAATTGAGCAACACTCTTACCTTAGGAGAGCTATACCCTTCCCCTCTACCGCTGTTTTCTCACTCCAGCTCTCTTTTGTTTAGGGAGCTGTATCTCCAAAGTCCTGACAAGTTTGCGGTGGCTCAGCAGGCCAACAATTTTCTTTAGCAGTCATCTGTCATATCCCAAAACTTACATGGATTCCTTGTCTTTTATGGTTTCAAAAAATGAGAGCCAGATTTCAAAACCACACCCTGGTCACCTCAGCAGAGCAGATTCACCATCGTTAGTTTTCAGATTTAACACACATCCCTTGAAACAAGAAAGATAGGTAATTCCATTCTGGAGAGATGCAAAACTGTCATCCTATTGTTTTGTTGTGAATAGATGGAGTCTGACTGATATAAATAGGTGAAGTCTGGTAATCACCTGCGCTTATGCTTCAGTCCACCCCTGGTCCATGCTTGCTGAGACAATCATCATGTTACAAGTGAATTCAATGTAGAAAGGGATTATGATACCTATTGACTAAATATCTCTCAAAGGTATCTGCTTGGCATCTGCTTTTTATTTTTTTTTTATTTTTTTAATGTACAATGTTCCTAGCACTGCAACTGTGTGGACACCTACCACGACACTTTAGGTGGGGAAGAGACTGGAATGCAAGTGACCAAACTGAAGTATGGGCAGTGTTAAGAAAAATTTCTCTATTACTCTGACTTTGTTTCTTCCAGATGCCTGCTCACTTGAGCATTACTCAGGAAACAAGGCAGAGAAGCAAGTCTCTACCTTTTCCCTGAAGTATTTGTGTGTTAATTGCAGCTGCTCTGTTAGATTATCTTCAGCTCTTACCAGAAAGTCCTGTCAGACAGTCACAAAGTGGGTTGTATTAAGGATCACTGCACACTAAGAATTCTCCAGTTCCCTGTCCTTCACATGCCTGCTGCACTAGAAGTAGCTGTACTTTAATGCTTCTCATTGACCTAATGTGCAAGTGTCTGCTCTGCTGGAACCACTCCTTGCGTTTTACATCTCTGATCTTTCCAAGTTCTTCCCAGAAGACTGGGAGCTCTCATTTGGACTGAGAGTGCTTGCTTTTACTGAATGGGCTTAGCCTTTCCTGATCCTTCCCTAGCAAAACCTCCAAATGCTAGCTGCTTTTAAAGAGATTGCCATTGAGCTTTTATTAGTTCTGGCTATAGCTACTGCTGGCTTGCTGTTGTTGCACAAGGCATACGCTACCCTTGTGCATATTTAGGCTATTTCTCTTTCTTAACACAGCTATCTTCTGTTCTCAGGTATCCTCTGTGCTCTGCTGTTAAAAAACTTCCTCCATTTCAGCCTAGAAGCAGCTGCACTTTGCTGGCTGATAAAGCAGCACGCTGCATTTGTGTCATGTCTCTGAACTCAAGTAACCCCGATGGAGAGCTCTTTCATTATTACCAGTGCTAGAAGAGGCCACACCGCAGAACCAGATCTTCCTCCCTTGAGTCACAGAGTTAGGGAAGTGCAGAATTCTGTTTTCAGCATTAAACAGCCACAAAAGGCAGCTGAATTGCAAGGTAATGTATGCTAGAGGGGGCAAGGGACAGCTGGGTTCTGAAACACACTGGCATCGTTTTGGAACTACAATCTAGCTGCTAGGTGCAAATGTAAGGAATTTTCCAGGGATGGAAGAGCCAAATTTTAAAAGCTGTTTCAGTGTTATGGAAAATCTCCCTAAGAGTCTGTAAGCCTTTTCTGTCTCCTGAACACTCTGGGCTTCCACTCAGAGGCACATGTGGTCCTCCAGCCTGCATATGGAGCTACGCTGGAGAATGTGTTCCAGTAGTTCTCCCTAGTGTATTAACAGTATTATCTCATGGTGCCCATCTTGAGAGCCCTTTCAGCACATTGTGATAGGACCATTCAAGGAGTTCTGCAGTGGGTGAACCAACAGGACTTTACTGGCACAACAGCTTCTAGATTTTCATTTGCTTGTAAAGGCTGTCAGCATCTTAGAGGGTCCACCTACAATGAAATCCAAAACTGGTTTAGCATCCCAGGGTTTTTGAAGTGCCTCCTCTGCAGTAGCAACACACCGGGTAGAAACAGGGGGGCTTTTAAATATGTCTGTTAACCTGATCTTACCTCAGGCAAAATTTTAGCCCTAGTTACTGACTGCATTTTCTAATAGCAATCCTGATAAAGTCAGAGACCTACCAAATCAAGGTAGCAGCTGTTTCCTCTAAAGTTTTTTTTCTCACTGTGTGATTTTCCAAACAAACCAGAAAGATAGCCTTTTGGAATCTAAACAGGATTTGTGGAGAGAACTGTTTAGAGAAAGCTGAGTTGCTTTGCTGGGCAGAGTGATTCTGAAGACTGAAGGCACCCTGCAGTCAGCTGCCTGATCCTCCTTTACGAAATAAAAGCTGTTTTCTCCAAGAAGTTCAAGAGTGCAACAGTCACAGGCACTGTGCCTTAAGTATTTTGAGGCTGAGGCTAAACTTTAGTTCAAAGACTCTGAACTCACAGTGGAAAGAGGAGTTGAATTCAAACAACCATGGCACACTGTCTCCAGAGGAGGAGGAGGCTGGTTTTACCTGCTAGACTCATATGTGGCATCCCACAGTCAC